ACGAAGCGACGCGAGCAAAAATACCACCAACTCACAATAGTAAGTGGATAAGTGGTCCAGACATTCTGCATAAAGACGAAGAGGAGTGGCCAGATAACTCGGACATGCAGAGCTCTGAAGACCATAGCAATGAGGAGATACGAGCTAACTACTCAGCCTTCGCAACCCATCAGGTATGTTTTTTGACAACTCGAATTAACCGCTTTTCAAATTTTCGTAGACTGAAACGTACGATGGCGTGGGTGTGGCGATTTGTAAAAAATCTTAACCGTAAGCGACAGAATGAGGACTTGCGCATCGGAGAGCTGAGTATGAAAGAAGAGGCGGACGCTGAGGTGTATATCTTAAAATACGTGCAGGAGGAGGTATTTTCGTCAGATTTGGAGAACCTACGGCGGAGAGTCGCTGTTTCATCTACCAGACCGCTCAAGTCGCTGAACCCCTATATCGGCGAAAACGGTTTAATTCGCGCACACGGAAGAGTAGAGCGAGCCAGGTGTCTTCCAGAGGAAACGCGAAGGCCGATTATATTACTAATAAATCCGTCAGATTTATACAATTAATGTTTCAACTTAACTTAATGCAACTTTATTTCAATTAATAGCAAACTACACAATGTATTGATTTCAGCTTGATGCTGTCAAAAGACAAGAACGAAGTGCTAGTCCTCTCACCAGAAAATCTGTCAGCTACGGGGGTTGTCATGTTGTAGGTGTACGAATAACGTGGGAAGACAGACTAGCAGAAATCGTACGACAATACCAAACAGGGTGCTTAATATTTGACACCCCTTAACGCCCAGATGGCGAGTAAAATGCCGGAATCTTTCGTGGACGTTTTGATCGCCTTGGAGTCGGTGGTTGGGGTGATGATGGTAGGATGATCCTTTCAGGTGTAGTATCTGCCGGCAATGTGGGCGATTGATGCGAGTTTAGGGATGTTTTTGTCTGTGTTGCCTCAGAAGGTGGTGAAACTGTCTCAGCTTCAGAGTCGTTTTCAGTTGAGTCACCGCTCGAAGTTGGTTCCATAGACGTGGAATTTTCATTGCTTGATGAAGTTATGCCGGCGTCAACAGGTGATCGATTCCTAATTTGGTCTAAGTGGCGCTTAATTAACCGTTCATCTTTAAGGCGAATCTTGTAAGATAATGGGCCGGTTTTGGAGTGGATGTGGCCCTCTATCCATTTAGGGCCAGACGAAAAGTTGCGGACCCATACAGGGTCTCCTTCGGAAAATGTTTCCTTTACAGTAGGATTTTCGACGGCAGGAGAGAGCTCATGCGGGTGGACCTTGTCAAAGTATGTTTTCAGCTGGCGATTGAAGATTAACTCTGCAGGTGAACGACCGGTTGCTGAATGTGGACTAATGTGCTGATTGAATACAAATCTCGTCAGGTTCAGGTCCCATTCCGAATTTGCTGGTAATTTTTTAAGAAAATCCTTTGTCGTCTGAACCATTCGCTCCGCTTGTCCATTAGACGACGGGTGAAATGGAGCACACCTGACATGGCGAATTAAATTATTTGCCATGAAGCCTTTGAACTCTCCCGATGTGAACGCCGTGCCATTATCAGACACTATTACATCTGGTAGCCCGTGAGTCGCGAAGAGGGAGCGCAAAGATTTGATGGCAGACTGAGATGATGTGGATTTAACAATATGGACTTCCAACCATTTGGAATATGAGTCGACCGTTAAAAAAATAGTTTACCGTGAAATGGTCCCGCAAAATCGACATGAAGTCGCGACCATGCGGTTTTGCCATTTCCCAAGTATGGACTGGTGCTTGAACCTTTTCGTGTCGAGTTTCTTGGCACGGAGTACAATGCTTAACGGTACCCTCAATTTCTAGATCCATTCTAGGCCACCAAACATAGCTTCTGGCTAATGCCTTCATTTTAACGATGCCAGGATGTACTGAATGTAATGCGTGTAAGATGTATTGACGACATGGCGGTGGGATAATAGTTCTGTTCCCCCATAAGAGACATCCTTCAAGAGTGCTGATCTCGTTGCGGCGCAGAAAGTATGGATATGCTTCATCGTTCCGAGATACTGAACACGGCCAGCCCCTTAACGCCCAGCTGCGTACCTTGGTGAGTAGCGGATCTTTCGACGAGAGCCTTGCTATATTTTTGGCGTTGACGATTTCGGTACTAGCCAACTCGATCATGAGTACTTCTCCATCATTAGTCCCAGTATGAGGCTCTTCAATGGGTAGGCGGCTTAGACAATCTGCGTTCCCCATCTTCTTACCCTCTCTATAAATAAATTCAAAATTGTATGCATTCAGGAACACGCTGCGACGCAACATTACGGGGGACAGGATCAGTGGGGTCTGCTTTGTTGTGCTGAAGATGCCCAGAAGCGGACGATGATCCGTAACCAATGTAAATTTTCTACCATATAAGTAGTCATGAAACTTTTTCACGCCAGCTACAATGGCGGTAGCTTCGCGGTCGATTTGTGCATAGTTTCTCTCGGATTTCGACAAGGTTCTTGAATAAAACGCTATAGGCCTTTCAGACCCATCAGACATTCTATGGCTTAGTACGGCCCCAATGCCATACGGTGAAGCGTCGCAAACGAGTATCAGTGGTAGTTTTTCATCGTAATGGACGAGTACGCTATCAGAAGTGACTAGGTGCTTGAATTTATTGAAAGAAAATTGGTGCTCAGATTTCCAGACAAAATTCCTATTTTTCTCTAAGAGGCGATGCAGGGGCTCTGCAATTGTAGCCTTATTTGGCAAAAACGAATGGTAAAAATTTAACAGTCCAAGAAAAGCCTGCAGCTGTTTCTTATCTTTGGGAGCATTCTTAATGGCCTTCATTTTTTCTGGTGAAGGTCTAACCCCAAAACCATCAATTTTGTACCCTAAAAAATTTATGGTGTGTACTCCAAATTTGCACTTATCCCGCCGAAGATGTAACCCTGATTTGTCGAATCGGGATAGCACTTCATTTAGACGCTCAGATAGTTCCGTCTCGGTTCCGCCCATGATGACTACATCGTCGAAATATGGTAACACACCAGGAATATTCCGAAGGAGCACGTCAATAAAATTCTGAAAAATTCCCGGAGCTGACGAAATACCAAATAGAAGACGGTTTACTTTAAATGCGCCTTTGTGTGTCACAACGGTTTGCAACATGGCAGAGTCTTCGTCTACAGCAAGTGGTTGGTACGCTTGTGCGAGATATAATTTAGCAAAGATCTTTCCCCCTTCTATTGAAGAGATAAGCGAGCTTATAGATGGAATTTGGAAATTGTGTGGCAACATGGCCTTATTAAGGGTAGACTTATAGTCACCACAAATTCTAATTGTTCCATCGCTTTTGAGAACTGGGACGATGGGCGTTGCCCAGTCAGAGTATTCGACAGGTTCAAAAATACCTTGAGCGCACAAACGATCGAGTTCAGTTTCAACAAGACTGCGAATAGCTATTGGAATACGGCGTGCGGGAAGCCTAATGGGTTGGATGTTGTCTTTAACTTGTAAGGAAACTGGTTCCCCTCTGAATTTGCCAAGTTCTTTTGAAAAAAGATGCTCAAATTTGCCTAAAATATGTTTGATTGTGGGCGATTCCTCAATTGCCAACACTCCCTGCACGCTTATGTCCAGCGAATCAAACCAATTACAACCCAGCACGTTGCTTTGGTTACCATTTACAATGATAAGTGGTAAGTCTTTGATTGAGCGTTTGTTGAACTCAACGTCAACATCTAAGACACCTCTGATAGGTACACCATTATGTTGAAAATCCCTCAACTCAAGACCGCACTCGTATAGTAATGGCTTAACCCCCGGCCATAATTGGTCGAATGTTTTAGAAGATACTATAGTATAATCCGAACCTGAATCCACTTCGAACTTACATGGTTTTGGTTGATGTATATGGTGGTAGATTTCTTACGACTCCGTGAGCTTAAAATCTGATTAATCCACTGTGGTTTCGACTTACCGTCTTGGTGTCGATTTTTGTCCGTAGCTTTCGTATGCTCCTTCGTCGCACCTGCGTTGACTGACCGGCAGACCCGTTGCAAATGGCCCTTGACACCACATGCAGAACAGATTGTTTCCCTATGAGAGCACTGAGATCGAGCATGTGCACCACCACAACCATTACAAGGTTTTGCGCTAGCTGTATTGTTTCAGCTTTTAAATTTTTTATTGAATTTCGGCTGATTACGTTTTCCAACTTGATTAACTTGTTCGGGTTGTCGTATTACTTGCACGTTCTTTGATGCGGCTTCCGCTGTTGTAGCCCGTTCTATGACCTTCTGCAGTTGGAGGTCAGACTCCGCGAGGAGGTTTCGTTGATGGGATTCGTCGCGCAAACCGCACACCAGACGATCACGAAGCATGCGATCTAAAGCACCGCCAAAATTGCAATCGACCGCAAGCTTCCTAAGGGCGGCTATATATTCCGCAAAGGTCTCATTCGGCATTTGATCGCGCTTGTGGAATTTGTAAAATGATGCAATTTCCGATGGACGAGGGGAAAAATGATTCGTTAATACTGCTTGAATTTCCGAAACTTGAAGGTCACTCACCTTCTTAGGGGATGCCAATGACGACAGCAGATCATAAAGCGGCGCACCGGCTAGTGTTAAAAAAATCGCCCTTTGACGCTCAGCTGTCCGTATGTCATTGGCCTGAAGAAACAACTCGAACCTAGCGTAGTATGTGGACCAATTCTCCGGATGACTTATGTCAAAAGGCTCTAATGTTCCTACTGAAGTCATTGCAGAGTTCGATGGCTCAATAGGAATTCTTCTTGAACTGGATGCTGAGTCTTCCTTTGACAAATCTCGTTCCAAAGCAGCTTCTTTTTCCAGCTTAATTGGCATTGACACACGATGCAACGAAGAATTGAATGATTGTGCAAATTCCCAGTACACGTACTTGACTTTGAATGTCAGTAAGTCGCGTAGCGGTCAAAAGGGTCACCTTCACTGGCTGACTTGTAGCCGCTCTCGATATCTGCACGTAGTTTTTTCGATAGTTTTACTTTGTCGCTTGCCAAGTCACGCGTTGTTGAAACAAACTTTAATGTGATGGGGATGATCCCATCCTCGTCGCCATTAATAAATCCGTCAGATTTATACAATTAATGTTTTAACTTAACTTAATGCAACTTTATTTCAATTAATAGCAAACTACACAATGTATTGATTTCAGCTTGATGCTGTCAAAAGACAAGAACGAAGTGCTCGTCCTCTCACCAGAAAAACTGTCAGCAACCCCCGTATGTCATGTTGTAGGTGTACGAATAGCGTGGAAGACAGACTAGCAGAAATCGTACGACAATACCACACAGGGTTCTTAATATTTGACAATTACCTAAACTGCATCAGTTGACTCGTCTCATCGCCCAGAATTACCACAACAAGGGTTATCATATCAACGTATCAACGACCATGTGTGAAATAAGACAACGCTTTTGGATCCCGTCCCTTCGCAGACTGTTGAACAGCATACAAGCAAAATGCCAGTTGTGTAGAATGCGAAGAGCGACGCCACGTCAACCACAAATGTCTGCATTGCCTCCTGATCGTGTCACGCCTTATGTGAGGCCATTTTCGTATACGGGTTTGGACTTCTTTGGACCGACTTTCGTAACAATTCGACGCCAACGAGAAAAAAGATGGGTCGCCCTGTTCACGTGTCTCACTACTAGAGCTGTGCATCTCGAAACTGCAGTGGACCTTTCGACAGACTCGTTTTTGATGGTTGTCCGAAATTTCCTGAATGGCAGAGGGATTCCAGTTCAGATGAGAAGCGACAACGGCACGAATTTTATGGGCATGGCCAAAGAGTTAGAGAAGAGTGGCTCTGAGCTAGCACCGGCAGGCATTAAATGGGTATTTACCACACCAGCAAACCCCAGCGAAAGTGGCGTTTGGGAACGACTTGTGCGCTCAGTGAAACAGGCGCTGCGAGTGATGTTAAAGGAACAGGCGCCTCGATTAGAAACGCTTCAAAGTTTTTTAATTGAAGCAGAGAATATCGTGAACTCCAGGCCGCTGACTCATCTTCCCGTCACGCCAGAAGATCCCGAACCGCTAACACCAACCCCTTCCTGCTGGGCTGTACAAACTCCACACAAACACCAGCACCTTACGAACCAAAATTGATGTGTTTACGCAAGCAATGGAGAGTTGTACAAACCTGAGAAATGGAATGTGGCGTCGATGGGTACAAGAGTATTTACCAGACCTAACGAGAAGGACGAAGTGGTGTTTGCCGTCGAAGCCTATTAGCATTGGAGATCTCGTATTTATATGCGACGTCGATTTGCCGCGTTCCCAATGGAAGAGAGGAAGAGTATTGCAGTTGTTCCATGGTTCTGACGGTATAGCGCGCTCGGCTGAAGTGAGGACTGCTGATAGTTGTTACAGGCGTCCAGTATCAAAGCTAGCGATTCTCGACCTAGATGTTCAAAGGGAAGATTGAAGGAAGTAAAGCCTCCCGGCTGGTCGTTTTACGGGGGCGGGTGTTGTGTTTCGGGCTTTATATTTTATCTAATCAATTTTATCGATTATCTCATCTTTGTGTACTTTATTTTTCTATTCTATGTTTTACCGTATATAGATTTGTCTAACAGTTTGTGAGATCTAGCGGAACGTTGTTTGTAAATGTATAAAAGGGCATTTTGCTTATACAGTTTTTCATTCCTTTCGTATTGTCAAGCGGGGTAACAAAACATTTAAACAAAACCCTCCAAACCCTTGAAATTAAAAAGAAGGCGTTTTATTTATCCCCGAAAACGAACAACTTTATTTAAATGGTTTAGTAAGAAATAATAATGCCAAAGCCAACGCCAACTAAAGTGATGCGATCGCCGCCAGCCACTAGGGCTTCTGGGAGCGCTATAGTTTCGCCACCAGTAGGAGCATCGGATACCGGAAAATCTTCTACAGAATATTTGACTCGTATGTACGAAAAGAGACTAGCGGCTATGATGGCGGAATTTAAGAAGCAAATGCATGCAATGCAGAACCTTTTCGTTACCAATAATCAGCAAACTGAAAGGGATCATGCACCACATGGTACAGCAGAACCTCCAGAAGAATTGCAGCCAGGACCCACCATTCACGCAGAGCGATTTGAGGGAGCTGCGATTTCGGAGCCGCTACAACCGTTACCTGGGAGTCAAGCACCGCGTGGTATTTGGTCACAGCCTTCATCAGCAATTACGAGCGATAATCGACAATTTCGCCACAAGAAAATTTATCCATTGCCGACGTTTTCCGGTCTGCCTGAGGAGTGGCAAGTGTTTGTAGAAGCCTTTGAAAGCACCACTCGAGACTTCGAATATTCGAATTTGCACCACATTATGCGGCTACGAGATGCGTTAAAGGACAGAGCAAAAGAAACAGTGGAAGCACTCCTCGCGAATTCTAACAACGTGGCAACAATAATGGAGAAGTGCGAATGATACCAACAATAGCCGATGACAATTAAGAGTCGTTGGTAAATTTTGCAACACACATAAATAATATGGCTACGTTTTTAAAGAATGCTAAAGGGGAACATCATTTGTCTAATCCTACATTATTGAGTGAGCTCGTTGGGAAATTGCCAGTGCAGAAGCAAATGCAATGGGCAGAGAAGTGCTTGCAGCTGGACCACCAACCAACAATCGTTGATTTTAGTGATTGGTTGAATACTGTTTGACGTTTAGCACATATGGTAGCAGATTCTTTGCCAATAATGTCGAATCCTTTCAAAGAAAAGAAAACACCTAAGTTTTCTGGGTCAAATGCTGCCCGTCGTTTTGTTGCTGTTGGCGTCGCGCATCGAAAGTGTTTGCAGTGATACGGTGAGTGTTGAGCGTTGGTGATCGGTGTGATAGAGCCAAAGAGATGCGGGTGTGCTATTGCTGTTTAAAAAGAGGACATCATGCCAGAAATTGTTATTCGCGGAAACGTTGTGGGGCCCACCCTCTTTTATATATCTCGCAATCAATAGCACCGAACGCTTCTGAAGAGCAACATGGTAGAGTGCAAAACTCGCAGCGTTGTTGTCATACCGACGATGGAATCAGTCAACATGTACTTTTTCAAATGCTGCCCGTTAAATTGTATGCGAATGGAATTGTAAAGTCTACATACGCCTTCTGTGATGATGGTGCCAATGTGTCTATAATAGATAGGGGTCTAGCTAAAGAATAAGGCTTGCGTGGAAAAATTGCAATGGTTGAATGATGTCAAGAAAAGTGAGCAGTCGGAAGTTGTAGACATCACAATCAGTGGAGCAGACTTAAACGCGGTAAAGTATAAAATGTCAAAGTTTATGTGTCCTCACATCTGTCGCTACCTCAGCAAAGCTTTAATAGATCGGCCGTATTGGGTAGGCAACACTTATCGAAGTTTCCTATGCGCGATTACAGTGGGGTACAGCCGAAGATTGTGGTTAGTTTGAATCATGCGTGAAGCGAGTATTGCATTGCAGACGAAGTATTGCTTATGATCAGGGAACGGATTTTATGGAGTTTTTCTGCTAAAGTGATAGAATATATTCGATTAAGAATGTCCACGATTTAGCTTTCCCTGTGTTAAAGATAAATGCAACTCAGAGGCTTCAACTGCACAGCAACCCCAATAAGCATATGTGACTAGAGTGCACTTGTCATCGTTGTCCACGCTCTGTGCATACTCTTCGTGCGAGCTTTTTGATGCGCTGGTAGTCGCTGATTGGCTTGTCGATCGCGGTTGTATGTTAGTACATATGTACATATGTCACACGATTGATCCCGAGTACAAAGTTTTTTTTTAAGTGGTTAGAGCTAGAACTGAATAAACTTTTTACGATCGTTGTATTCTTGGCTGTAATGTATTTCGACTTGAAGTTTACTTAATAAAAATTGCGTTATATAAACAAATCTAACATTTTTGGCATCCCTTGCGGGGAACCGTCTCTAGCCAATTGTTTAATTGTGTTAAGCAATTAATATGAACTATTAATACGAATTACATCACGGAATCTACCTGATCACATGTTCGCCATCATGTCAGCTGAAAAGGAAGAAGGTCTTGCTCGATTAATTCTTAATTTTGCGGCAAACACTAGAAAGGTCTCGAAATAAAAAAGAACTAAGGGCTATCTTGTGGCCAGAAGGAATCTACTGGCTGATTATTGGAAGCGCTACAATGACTTCCGTGACGACATTTCTGCAGNGAAATAAAAAAGAACTAAGGGCTATCTTTTGGCCAGAAGGAATCTACTGGCTGATTATTGGAAGCGCTACAATGACTTCCGTGACGACATCTCTGCAGCAGACGTTATTGAAGGCGAAGAGGGCAAGGTTAAGACGACATTAAGTGAAGCTCGTTTGGCAACAATAGAATCGGCATACTGCGAAGCACTAGGTGAAATACATGATGAAATCGAAGAATTTGACAATCATGGTAGTGATAATCATCCAGCAACCATACTCAATCATACATGCGGTGGTTCTACAAATACATCAGCGTCAAAGCTTCCGAAGATTATTCTGCCAAAATTCGATGGCTCGTTTCAAAAATGGTTAAGTTTTAAAGATATGTTTACAACATGCGTTATAAATGAAGCTTGTTTGTCTGATGTACAACGTCTGCATTACTTAAAAGGCAGTTTACTAGGTGAAGCCGAAACTCTTCTTCGCAGTATTAGTATCCAGGAAAACAATTTTGCTATAGCCTGGGATATGCTCCAACAACGTTATGACAATAAGCGACGCCTTGTCAAGTCTTATCTGCGCAATATTACGAAACTTCCGGCGATAACCAATGAGTCAGATAGCGTCATGCGAAAACTTTTGGATACTACCACAGAATCAGTCCGCGCATTAAAGCAACTAGGACGGCCAACAGAACACTGGGATGACTGGCTTGTTCTACTTGTAACCGAGAAGTTAGACCCAGCGACAGTAAACGAGTGGGAAATGTCTTTGGAATCTCCGAATGTGTTACCAGAATATACAACTCTGGTGCAGTTTTTGGAAAAACGTATTCAGGGCATAGAAGCAGCTTCGTCGGCTTCCAAACCCAAAACTAAAGAACCGTCATCTAATAATAAGTCAACAGCTCTGACTTCCATTCGCAGTCATCAGACCAATGTAGGTCGTTGCCTATGTTGCTCAGGTAAGCATGCGTTAATGTATTGCGCTGAGTTTAAAAGGAAAGAACCAGCAACAAAGCTTGAATTAACTTTAAAGTTCAAACTATGTCAAAATTGCCTAAAAGCAAATCACTCTACAAACGAGTGTCAATCCTCATACACCTGCCTGAGGTGTTCGCAGAAGAACCACACACTTCTTCACGATAGCTTATCGCTTCAACGTAGTAGCGTCGCTGCACTTCATACGTGTCCAGACCACAGCGTTAACCGACTTACGAGCTATGCTGAAACCTGCCTTCCAGCTGTTTTGCTGGCTACGGCTTATATTAAAGCGCAGTCCTCGACTGGACAGTACATAAAACTTCGAGCATTACTCGACAATGGTTCGCAAGCATCCTTCATAAGCGAGTATGCCGCTCAACAATTAAGACTTCGTAGGAACCGGTTGCAAATTCCTATCACCGGTCTTGGCGGTCACAGCGTTGGTGACTCAAAGGGTATAGTCACATACACTCTACGTTCATTTACAGACCCAGAGTTTAGTGTCAATTGTTCTGCGCTCATCCTACCAAGGTTGGGAAATCTCCTACCTTTGAAGAGAGTCAATCCAAAGCCCTATATCGAACTTCTAGATCTCACACTAGCAGATCCTAATTTCTACGAGCCTTGCTCAATTGACGTCATCATTGGCGCAGACCTCTACGGTCTCTTAGTAAAAGGTGGGATCAAGCACACTGCCTGCGGTTCGGCCATAGCACAAAATACGTATCTTGGCTGGGTTATCTACGGACGCATACCCTGCTCTGCATCTCCCCAACTATGTACAACACATTTCACGGCAACAACCACTGATGACCTGAGCAGCTTAGTTCAGCAGATGTGGAAATTTCATGAATTTGATGAGATACTACCTCCATCTAAAATGACACAAGACGAATTATTCTGCGAAGAGTTTTTTAAAGACACTGTTCAGCGAACTAGCTCAGGGCGGTATCAAATTCGGTATCCGTTTAAAGCCGATTGTGATCTTACAAAATTATCCAACTCGAAAGCTGACGCAATTAAATTGTTTCGGTCTCAACAAGCTAGGCTTCGAAATGACCCTGAAATGGATCATTTGTACACCACGTTCATGACAGAGTACCTGGCTTTAGGGCACATGGAGAAGGTAATTGAAAACGAGGAGCCGAGAACTGTTTGCTATATTCCGCATCATGGGGTGTACAAGGAATCGAGCTCAACCACCAAATTGCGCACAGTTTTCAATGCATCCCGTAAAACTATAGAAAACATCTCACTAAACGACTGTCTTCATGTTGGCGATTTAAGCCAAATAATTATTCGATGGCGGCTTCACCGCATTGGTTTCATGGCAGATATAGAAAAGTGTTATCGGCAGATTCTGGTCAGCCGTGATGACGCTGACATGCAGCGTATTATATGGAGAGGTACAGAAGGAGAGCCAGCAGCCTATCGATTGCTAACAGTCACGTACGGTTTAAATTGCTCACCATATCTTGCAATTAAAGTGCTGCAAACATTAGCTGATGATGAAGAGTCAACTTATCCTGAGGCGTCTAAGGTCTTGCGAGAATCATTTTACGTAGACGACTGTTTGCATGGAGCTGACTCCGTCGATGCTGCTTTGGAAATCCAGTACCAACTGCGACAGTTACTCCAAAGAGGTGGTTTCGTCCTACGAAAGTGGAGCTCAAACGCTGAAGACTTCATGCAGCGGTTAAGTGCAGATGACAAAGAGAATACTATTTGTTGCAACCTCAACCTGGACCGTACAACTAAAGCTCTTGGCATTTATTGGCTCTGTGATTCAGACTCTTTGACATATAAGGTTAGCTTGAGTCCATTAACAACCCAAATCACCAAACGGCAGCAATTATCAGACATCGGTAAAATTTACGATCCTCCAGGGTTACTAGCGCCGATAACTGTAACTGGAAAAGCTATGTGTCAGAAGTTGTGGGTGGCCGGTTTAAACTGGGATGACCCAATTCCCGAACCACTTCAGCAAGAATGGCAACGGTTTCGAAAGGAGCTAGGTGAAGTTGAGCGTCTTAGAATTCCAAGGTGGCTCGGTGTAGAACCTAACTCTAGAGGTTACCAACTGCATGTCTTTTCCGATGCGTCCGCCATAGCATATGCTGCGGTAGCATATCTCAGGTTCGACACAGCGCCGAGAAACGTACATGTTGCCATTTTGGCTGCGAAGACAAAAATCGCCCCCTTGAAGAAAATAACAATTCCCTGTTTGGAACTAAATGGAGCTCTGCTGGCAGCCCAGCTTGCGACCAAGCTTTCGGAAACACTTCAACTACCATACCTTCAAACATACTGTTGGTCTGATTCAAAAACAGTTCTCAGCTGGATCCGATCAAATCCTGGAAAATACAAACAATATGTCAGTAATCGCATAAGTAAAATCCAGGCAATCACATCTGTTGACTCTTGGAAATATGTACCAACCGCCAGTAACCCTGCGGACGCAGCATCTCGGGGATTTATGCCATCGCAACTTAAAGAGCTTTCTATTTGGTGGGACGGACTGCAATGGCTTCGTTGTCACTCTCATCAATAGCCCATACAACCTTCCATCGGGCCAGCCAGGACTGAAGCAACTGTGGTGTCGTTGGCTACAATGCCATCACATCAACCTCCGTCGGTTCTGGCCACGCTCCTTTCTAAGTACTCAGACCTTAACAAATTGTTAGCAGTTACCGCGTTTATGCAACGGTTCATAGCGGCGGTGATGAAAAAAACCCACGAAACGACTCCATGGTGTTCTGCAGGAGAACGAACAGAAGCATTGAAGCTGTGGCTCAGGTACGTTCAACACACACGTTTTAATAATGAACTTTCTTGTCTTCGCACGAATAAGCCGATCAGCATGAAGAGCAAACTTCTCCAGTTTAACCCAGTCATTGATGAAGATGGTATCATTCGACTAAATGGACGACTGCAGAATGCACGATTTCTTTCTGCGTGTGAACGTTCTCCAATAATTCTGCCACAAGATGGAGCACTGAGCAAGCTGTTAATTGCGCACGCTCATGAATCCACGTTGCATGGAGGTACTCAGGCGACTCTCAACTTTTTAAGACAGCGTTATTGGATTATCAAAGCTCGGCCAGCTGTTAAGCAACATATTCATAGATGTGTAAAATGTTTCAGGCAAAACCCCGCAACACTCATGCAATTAATGGGAAACCTTCCCCCACATCGCTGCAATCCTGCTAAGCCGTTTGATTATTGCGGTATCGACTACGGTGGACCTTACTATATTCGCACTACAAAAGGTAGAGGTTATCGGAGCTATAAAGGGTACATCGCACTATTTGTCTGTTTTGTTACTCGTGCTGCTCACTTAGAACTCGTCAGCGACCTAAGCACAGATGCCTTCCTGGCTGCGCTGAGGCGGTTTGTTTCACAAAGAGGATACAGCTCTCATATATACAGCGATTGTGCTTCTACATTTGTGGGTGCGAATTCAGAACTAAAGGCTGACCTTGCAGCCTGCAAACAGCAGTTGGAAGCGGCAGCTCGATTTGCATCAGTCAGGGGTATTACCTGGCATTTCATACCGCCAGGCTCTCCAAATTTCGGCGGCATATGGGAAGCCGGAATAAAAGGGGCAAAGCACCATTTAAAACGCGTCATCGGACGTGCAACACTAACTTTTGAAGAGTTTTTCACTGTACTCAAGCAAGTGGAGGCAGCGCTAAACTCAAGGCCATTAAGTGCCTTGACGGAAGACCCCAGTGACTTAACTGCCCTCACTCCCGGCCACTTTTTAGTGGGCGGTCCACTTATCGCAATACCGGAACCCAACCTACTCGAAGTCAGCACCAATCGACTCAAGCGTTGGAAACTGTTGCAGCAAATACAGCAGGATGTTTGGAAACGTTGGAGCAATGAGTATCTGCCACGTTTACAAATGAGATACAAATGGAAACAGACCCAGCAGAACTTGAAAATTAGCGATTTAGTTTTACTTCGCGATGAACGCGCTCCCCCTTTGCAGTGGCCCCTCGGTCGAGTTGTGGACATACACCCAGGAAATGATGGGATTGTGAGGGTGGCCACTATACGTACTGCAACGTCAACATTNATTTACAAATGAGCTACAAACGGAAACAGACCCACCAGAACTTGAAAATTAGCGATTTAGTTTTACTTCGCGATGAACGCGCTCCCCCTTTGCAGTGGCCCCTCGGTCGAGTTGTGGACATACACCCAGGAAATGATGGGATTGTGAGGGTGGCCACTATACGTACTGCAACGTCAACATTGAAGCCAGCCATTTCCAAGCTGGTAGCCTTGCCAATCGATCCTGACATTGATTCACACGGTGGGCGGTTCTCCCCTGAACATGTCGTCGCACAAGATGGACGAGGTGGGCGGAATGTTAAAGATAAATGCAACTCAGAGGCTTCAACTGCACAGCAACCCCAATAAACATATGTGACGAGAGTGCACTTGTCATCGTTGTCCACGCTTTGTGCATACTCTTCGTGCGAGCTTTTTGATGCGCTGGTAGTCGCTGATTGGCTTGTCGATCGCGGTTGTATGTTAGTACATATGTACATATGTCACACGATTGATCCCGAGTACAAAGGTTTTCTTAAGTGGTTAGAGCTAGAACTGAATAAACTTTTTACGATCGTTGTATTGTTGGCTGTAATGTATTTCGACTTGAAGTTTACTTAATAAAAATTGCATTATATAAACAAATCTAACACCCTGATTTTAAGATATTTGCCTTTTTTTTGCCTTTTTTAAGATATTTGCATTTTCTTACCTTTTCTACCTTTAAAAAATCGATTATAGCATTTACAATTTTTTTTTTAAGATTAAAAAATATACACATGCCCATGTGGCTTATAGAAGCGCAGGGACCTCTTGCCAAATTGGTGTTGGAAAAATTCAAAGCCGTTTTCTCAGCTAACGTAGGCGGGGAGACAATAAGGGATGTGGATAAAATTATAAAGGGCGAGGAAAACGCCCTTATTCCTGATAATATGAACGTTTCAATCGTTCCATATTTAAATTGGGCTCCACTTGTATCAACTTACGTCGTGCGCACATTTAGTTCATTCAAGGCTTTTCTTCGCGAAAATCGAATGAAAATGCTGCCAGAAAACTTCAAAATGCATCTTGTGCTTCAATGTTACTACAACTATACAGATTAAAGTTTTACGAATTAGAAACTCGAAAAGATAAAATAGTCAAAAATTCGAAGTACAAATTTTTCATATAATGCAACTAGTTCACAGTTTTTCTCTTTTTACTTGTAATATAAACATTTCTAAAATAAATGTATTTTTTGATTATTCTTCGAATTTTCTGTCTTTTTTAGTGCCTTATTTTGCTTTTTTTGTAATACCTAGTGCCTTTTCCTGCCTTTTTCACTATTTGGTTTTGCCTTTTTTTGCCTTTTTTGCAATACCTAGTGCCTTTTTTTGCCTTTTTCGCTATTTTATGTTGCATTTTCCAGCCTATTTCGTTATTTTATTTTGCCTTTTTTATAGGTTTTTAGGTCCTAAAAATCCGTTCCCTGCTTATGATGATAAGCTTAATGAAATGCATATGATGATGAAGCAGTAGTTTGAGATGGAGACTTTCGGGGTAAAAGCCAATTTGAAGCCACTTACGTCATCAGCTGTTGAGAGATCCATGTTAATATTGAAATCGACCACTAAACGCATTGGAAACCGGTATGAATCTGGGCTGATTTGGAAAGAAAACGTACAACCGTTTCCACCGAGTTTCGATATGGCAGTCCGACGACTAGAAAGCGTTGAGAGGAAAATGAATAGTTCGTCAAGCAGACAGAGACTGCCAGAGGTTTTTGTGGAGAAATGGCGAGTCTTCAAACCCGATTGAGACGTATGTTATGGAGCGATTGATTTTTGGCGCCACATGCTCGCCTACCGTTGCACAATTTGTTAAAAATTGTAATGCTAGCAGATTCTGGAAGACATCAACGCGAGCTGTTAAAGGTATCGTTGAGAAGCACTACGTCGACGATTATGTTGACTGTTTCCAGAGCGAAAACGAAGCGATAGACGTTATCAAAGAGGTAATTTCCATCCACATGCAAGGTGGTTTTGAATTGCGCAACATTGTCTCAAATTCTAATGCCGTAATGGAAGCTGTTAGAAGCTCGGCGAGCGAAAATCGTGTTTCTGTGAGTGTTGAAGGAAATATTGAAAGAATACTTGGTATGAGGTGGCTGCCAAAACCGGATGTTTTCGTGTTCACTTTGAAATTGAACAAAGTGCCAGGAGATATTTTAGATTTCTCTCGTAAACCTTCAAAGAGAGAGACCTTGGCTGTTAATATGTCAGTCTTTGATCCGTTCGGGTTTTTGGCAAACTACATGATTATGACAAAGATTCTGATGCAGAATATATGGAAAACCAGTATTGACTGGGACGACCCTATAACGGACGAGATCTATCGTTGGTGGAAGCTGTGGCGAACCGAGCTGAAAAGAGTGGAACAAATTCGAATCGAACGCTGTTATTTTGCAAATTTTGAGAGAGCGTCGGTGGAATTGCACATTTTTGCAGACGCAAGCGAAGAAGCACTTGCAGTTGTATCGTACTGGCGAGTGGTTGATAGTGGCAAGGTGAAGGTAAAATTCGTCGCTGCAAAAACCAGCTGTGCACCTACTCGTTTTCATACCATTCCCAAAATGGAACTACAAGCTGCAGTTATGGGTGTTCGATTAAAAGAAAGCATCATCAAATGCCACGAAGTCAACGTTAGTCGATGCGTGTTTTGGAGCGATTCCCACACAGTAATTCGATGGGTTAATTCAGATCATCGTTCTTACAAACAGTACGTCGCTAATCGAGTGGCAGAGATTTTAGAATACAGCAAACTCAACGACTGGCGATGGTGTCCAGGTTCGTTAAACCCTGCGGACGAAGCGACGCGAGCAAAAATACCACCAACTCACAATAGTAAGTGGATAAGTGGTCCAGACTTTCTGCATAAAGACGAAGAGGAGTGGCCAGATAACTCGGACATGCAGAGCTCTGAAGACCATAGCAATGAGGAGATACGAGCTAACTACTCAGCCTTCGCAACCCATCGGGTATGTTTTTTGACAACTCGAATTAACCGCTTTTCAAATTTTCGTAGACTGAAACGTACGATGGCGTGGGTGTGGCGATTTGTAAAAAATCTTAACCGTAAGCGGCAGA